AACTTCCAAGCATAGTCCACAAATCTGTAATTTCTCCATTCCCTTATCTGACAGCTGGATTTTGATGCTCTTGTTGATCTTGAAAGTTAAGGATTGAAGATGGCAGGGCCTGGATCTCTGAATGTCTGCATGAAGCAGAGTGCTGACCTCTAATTCCCATATCCCTTTTGCTTTCTACTCTTAATCTGTTTGACTTTGGGCAAATAATCCTTTAAGATTTAGTTTTCTCATTTGCAAGATGGAGAATATGGACATATATAGGCAGTAGACTTTTTTGTGCAATGTAATTGAAATAGCAGATGCAAAACACAGCACTTCTCACATAGTAGGCATTTAAATGAATGAATGACAGAAGTATTAAGCAGAGGGCTATGCTGATAGTAGTAATCAATGTTAACATTCTATTTTTCTATAAAATACATGATGGAATTTCACCTCCAATTAAAGTTAAAGAAAGGATTTAAGACAGGAAAGTGCAAAATTACTGCTTTGTAGAGTATGCTGAGGAATCAATAAATGATGAACCATATATATAATCAATCAGCATAAAACAATTATTCTGGCCAGTTCTCTAATTATTCCTCCAAATTACACTGTGGAGTTGACTGGTGATACAGAGCTGAAGGTTGGAACACAGTTAAAGTTGAAAACTTCTAAGGGGTTGAAGAAATAGGAAATTAAAATCAAAGTTACCTTTTAAGCCAGCATCTTTCTTCTTTCCCAGCCTACGGAAAAGTATGTTTACTGCCTATTAGGTGAAAAGCTAATTTTAGTTGCTGAGAATACTTTCTAATTGCTCCTTCTAGTTCTTTAATCCAGCAACTTTGATTTCCAAAAGGTTTTACTTTTTGAAAATCAAAATGGAAACTTCATATAGTCCAAAATCAAAAGAGAAACATACTTGTGTTTATTGTAGGAATTATTATAAAAGGAGAATCTCTTTCCTTGTGTTATATTTTATTTGTAAATAGAACTAGATGTATGTGCTTTTTCATTGCATGGATATGATACAACATTTTGTTTTCAAACTTAAATTTCCCAATTATTTGTCTCAAACCACTATTATGATTAGAAGTCAGTTTTTATGTTAGCATATTTATGGCAAACACTTAGAAGAAAACATACAATAAATAGTATTCTAAATTATAGATAAGTAAACTTTTTAAGGTGAATTTTAATCATCCTCTTATGAAACAAGAATGTAGTTAAAATATTAAACATTTTTTTAGTCTGCTTTCCTAGTTGAAAAAATTAAGTGTATGTTGCAGAATGGTCCATCTGCTGACAGTTTGCAATGCCCTGAATTCATCTTGAATTAAACATTTTATATTTGCCCTTTTCAAATGGCTTAAATGGGAGATAAATTGAACTGGATTCTGAAATATTTGACGTGTGTAATTTTAAATAAGTTGTAGATAACTGCTTTTGTAACTGGAGTCCATGCCTTCTGGGTTATGTTTTTTATGTCCATTTTATAGGAGAAAATGCTATTAGAGTCAAACTTTAAAATGAAATATAGCTGATGTTTGATATCTGACACATAGATAAAATGCATTTCAAAGAAAGCATTTGATACGTTTGCACTATGGAACATTTGAAGACAGGGAAAACCTTATTTAGGAAGGCAATGAATTCCCTGAAATGTGGGTCTTGAGGGTGACAATTACAGTGTTGGTGGGTTCCTGGAACCACTGATTTTAGTTGTCAATTTTCAGCCTCAAAACACTAAATACTAAACCAGCAAGCTCCTAATCCAAATGAGTTGGGAGCAGGATGTTTGAAATAACCATAAATAACAAAGAAAAGGGTGAGACCTGGTGGAAGAAGCCAAAAGAGCTTAAGGACAATGAGCCTTAAAGAAATAAAAGGATTTCTTCAACCCCAAATTTCCACAAAACCTGGCTCAAATTTCAAATAAGGGTAGGAAAGTGGCTACTTCTTTACTTCCTTTTTCTTCTAAGTGATGCTGATCACCTTTAGAAGATATAGAGAGAATCTCAGCCACATCAGTACTGTGCAAATGATTTTACACAGTGGTTTTATACCTCTCCTGAGGGGCTTGTCAGTGTTTTGTGGAAAAATAGGCAACCGCTTATCTGTGATGTTTGATTGATAGCCATTAGTTTTTGTTTGCTTGTTTCTGATAAAACTTTAGGACTCAATTTTCTCCCATTGTACCTCAGGACTATTATTGTCAAGATGCAAAATAATGGCTCAGGATGGTAGGAAGATGATGTATGACTGTGACTGGCATTGGAGTAGGCTAAGAGGAAAGCTTTTCGTCCTTGTATTGTAGAATAACAAAGGAAGAGGGGGCCTATCAAAATGCTCTGCGAACTCTGGAAAGATTTTGCCACCTTAGAAAGTTGACATCTTGGTATCTCCTCATAGTCTTCTCAGTTTCCTCTGAATATCTGAGTACTCTTGGTATAAATTGTTTCTATTGTCTGTCCATCTCTGGCCAACCCCTGCCAAAACCCCCGCTGATCAGGCCCCCTGCCCCTGCCAGTGTGTGTATGTGTCCATGGCTTTCCAGGGGAATGTGTGCATGTTTCTGAAGCAGGATCCACTGCAAGAAACAGACCTCTCGGACACCGAACTAGGAAGGAAGAGGTGTTTAGTTACGGCCCGGGAGAGAGGAGACATGTTTTGTCTAACTGCCAAGCTCACCTAACAAAGATAAGCTCTGCCTTTATATAGGCTTATACTCTAGATATTACACCTGAAAGGATCTTAGGTTTACAGCCTTAGAAATTACAAGTGAAAGGGTCTTGGGCTTATAGATTTAGAATTTACATCTGAAAGGGTCTTGGCTGATGGAGGAGTGGAGTGGGGGTTTGATCTTGTTTAAATAAAAACAATGTCTTCCAGAGAGATTCCCCCATACCATACCTGCTATTTACAGGAAGGTGATTTAGGAGGTGCCAGTCGGCCAGCCTTTTCTTCTATTGAAATGCAGTGTGTGGAACCAACCCAAATGCCCATCGATGATAGACTGGACAGGGAAAATGTGCCACATATACACCATGGAATATTATGCAGCCATCAAAAATGATGAATCCTTTGTAGGGATATGGATGAACCTGGAAACCATCATTCTCAGCAAACTGACACAAGAACAAAAAATCAAACACCACATGTTCTCACTCATAGGTGGGTGTTGAACAATGAGAACACATGAACACAGGGAGGGGAGCATCACACACAGGGGTCTGTTGGGGGGAAATAGGGGAGGGACAGTGGGGGGTGGGGAGTTGTGGAGAGATAGCATGGGGAGAAATGTCAGATATAGGTGATGGGGAGGAAGGCAGCAAATCACAGTGCCATGTGTGTACCTACCCAACAATCTTGCATGTTCTTCATATGTACCCCCAAACCTAAAATGCAATTAAAAAAAGAAAAAAATTTCATTTTGGAATAATGAAAAGAAAGAAAAACAAATTGATTAATAAATAAAGGAGTCTTTCCATGAAAAAAAATAAGTAAATAAATGCAGTGTGGAAGTCAAGGTGGAGGTGATCCTAGGTACCTGGGTCTCCTTCCTCATTTCCATGCTAAGAACTGGGTTGTAAACCACAGTTTTTTAGATAGGAATGATTATGAAAGGACAATTCTTACCATCCCCCCAAAAAAATTTCAAAAAGAAAGACAAGGAGAGGAAGAAGAAAGTATAAGACTACTGAACAATGAAGAGAGGAGGGATGACAGTTTTCTGCATTTTGGTTCAGACCCACACTAGAGTAGGCTAAATGCAAAGGGAAGGACTAGGCTGGAGAATTCCATCCCCACCCCACACCCCACCATGCTTCCCTTCGTCACCTACAGACCACTAGCTCCCAGCAGCTTCCTTGCTCTGGTCAAGTCTCCTGTCTCCTTGTTTGTGGGAAAAACTCAGATGAAAGAATGAGAGAAGGAATCCATGCATTTTATTTATTTTTTTTTTAAGAAAGAAATTTAGGACACTTCTCCCTTTTAACTTATCCTTTGTTTTTATGTCTTAAAGCTATGGTACAAACCTGACTTTAGTGTGAAAGGTGATTTTCATTCCCTCTTTTTCTTAACAATTCAGTGAGCTATGAAGTTTTAACCCTGGAGAGACCTAAACCTTTATATTCTCAATCTTATATAAGATATGAATATTAGGGATTTGTATTATTAACAATGAGAATTTGTCCTGCTGTGGACCTTCTGGGTTTTTAAGTTGTTTTATTTTATTTTTCATTATGACAGGATAATTGTGTTTTGTGAGGCTATGGAAATACAGGACATATGCAAATTTTCCTTCTGTAAAATTTGTGTGTATATGTAATAGCCAACCCTATTCCCCCAAACAAATGCCAAATCTTAGGATATAGACTTGATGAATTAAAGCATTAGACTGATCTCTTTATGGAGAAGACACTATCATTTTCTGAGGTTTTATATTACTGCTATAACTATGATGATGAGAAATATGTCTTGAGACTTTTAGGATGTGGGGTTTATTTTTTGCTGTCATAGACATAGTAAATACTGCTTGACTATTTTCATGGAAAATCAGAGTTTCATTAAGTAAAATAATAAACATCAATTGCTTGAAAATTTGTAAAGAAAAAATAGCCACAAATCAGAATGAAATAAGAACATGGCTTACTAAAATGTTAGTAGGTATGTTGAAATAAATAGCATTTTAGTGGCCACAATAAAAATAAAAATCAATAAAAAATTTACAATTTTTAAAATAGACATATTATGGCTGGGTGTGGTGGCCTATGCCTATAATTCCAGCACTTTAGGAGGCTGAGGTAGGCAGATCAATTGAGCCCAAGAGTTCAAGAATAACCTGGGCAACATAAAGAAAGCCCATCTCTATAAAATCTAAAAATAAATAAATAAAATAAAAAGAAATATCTTGCATTTACATTGAATTAACATAGAAAAAGCAGGCAGTTATCTCATTACAAATACAACAAATTTAAAATGATTTAATAATACTTCTAACAATGGCCATTTCTTTATAGACATTTCAGTACTGAAAGCACGTTTCCAGTTCTACTAAAGTATGCATGCATATACACAGGTAAATAAAAATATTTTTAAAGAGAAATATGGCATGCCATTTACATTGATCTTTTTTCTCTGTTTTCCAAGGATTTATTGTTATTTAAAATATTCCATTGACCCACGTTAAATATTCCTTTTCTAAAAATACTTTTGAAAGTTGCATTATATTTTCACTAAAGTTTATTGCATTGTTTAAAAATGTATGTTTAATAACACAGAAAGAAAGTCTTCTCCACAACCCATTTCTTATCTTTATTTATACATCCAGATATTTCCTATGCATAATCAAGTATACACACAAAAACAAATACATACACACTATACCTACATATATATAAATCCATCTCCTTGGCCATCCTGTGGGAGAATAGCAGTATGACAAATCTCTAGTAGAATTATTAGAGCTCATGGTATGTCCACTAGTAATGATTATTGCCATGCAATGGCCCTCCCCAAAATAGATATACTCCCACTAACAGTGTTTAAGACTATTTTTTTTCTCACATCTTACCAAAACTGGGCATTATAACATCAAACACCTTAATCTTTATTAATCTCAGAGATGACCATAGCATCATGATTACTACATATCACTCTAACTCCCTTTTTTTTCCAAAAAACGCTGTGAGAACATGTCTTACGTAAATATTCTCTAATTTTAATAAAGTTTAGTTAATTTGATAGGCTTCAACACTAAGTAGCTGTAACAAAACTGAGGTCCAGCCGCTCACCACTTGGAGAGTCCAGTAATGAGAGTGAGGTATGGGAGAAAGTATGTGACTTTATCAGCCAAAACTAGCAATGGGGAAGTAGCCAGATTCCCATCCAAAGTAGCCACTTCAAATTTCTAGGGAGAAAGCAAGATTTTAAAAAGTGGGGACTTGATATAAGAGGCATGCAGGAGTTGTGTTGGGTACAAGGGTTTGTATTTCTTGTTTCAGTGGCTATCTTAGGTTTCAGTCCATCTTGAGTGCAGGCTCGCATCACCTCTACACTGGTCAAGATGTTGACTATCCGCCTTGAGGTTATATCTGGAATTTTGCATCTGGGTCTCCAGGCTTGGTCTGTCTGTCTCAAAATTAGCCCCCAAAAGTTCCAAGTAAACACATAATTAGATACTAGCATACAGTTAGATAAATGTGAAGGGAATATACATGAGAAAGTGAGATACATGGAGTCTGTTTCAATGTTAAAGAGAAAAGGCTTCTGCAGTTTGCTTCAAGGTTATGTCTTGAGACTAGGGAAAAAAGAGGAAAAAAATGTTTAAAAATGCATTTTGAAGTCAAGCTGCTCAGTTACATAGCCATTTGCCCAAAACTAATTATGATGGACTGATAGGCAATAGAATCTTACTGTTTCTTTTGTATCTCATGTGCAAAATAACAATAGTAGTAATAGTAATTATAATAAAATATTAAAACAATAATTAAAATCCCAGCATAATTATTCTAGGTGTTAATATTCATTTCAGAATTATATCACTCAGTAGATATCTGTTTTAAAATAATACAAAATCAAATAGAAGTTGAGCACCATAGAAACAGCAAAGCACTAGCTGTTTCTCAAAGAAATATGTGGTAATTGAATGTTTTAATAACACGTCTTAATGACATATTCTCAATGTGTGCTTATAAATATGTTTTTCTGTCAGACTTCCATTTACTGAAAGGAAACGGTTTATCATACATTTTAATAAGAAGTATGCTTACAAAAACACACTCTAGTTTTATTTTTAATATCAAAATATTTTTCAAATTTTAAGGTTAATTTTAGCAAGCTAGCATGCAGAAAATTTTATTCCTCACTGGAACATCAGTAAAATAGTCAAAAGTGTTCAAAAGATCAGTCATATTTTCTGATGATGTTATTTTTAGATAAATAACTTTCAATAAAGTTCATAAAACCCAGCTGTCCTCAGAAAGTTAGAACTTACTATTTCACCATGCATATCTAGTACCAAAATAGAAGACATTTTAGAAAAAGACAGTTGCAATTAGAATTTGATCAGGAAGATGCTTAGAGTGACGAGCTACATCGAATTGGAGAGAGTGCATGATTCCTTTTTCTCTCATTGGCATAAGTTGGAAATTAGGACAATTTTCTAGGAGTTTCTTAATGAAATTACCATCAGGAAGTTGAATTGTCATTGATCAATTGATAAATGGACACAATTCCAATCGATTCTTAGATGATCTCAGGAGTACCCATTAATTAACTTTTGATTTAATGTTTGTTCAATGATTTTTTTCAGTGTTAGATACTCTGCTAATCAACGAAAATAAAATGGTTATTATAATAGGCGTAGTCCATAGTCCTAATTTATAGGGAGATTACAGTCTCATCAAGTAAAATAAGCAAATTTATGTAAAGGAAATTACAAACTGCTCCTTAAAACTGAAATGGATTTTAAGATTTAGAAAAGTTACATAAAGCAATGTTGTATGGACTGATGGTGGCCCATCTGGAGCTGCCATTGCCATGATTCCGGCTGCAGTGGTGGAGGTGTGACCAGAGCTGCATGCTCCATGGAGCCAGTGAGAGCCGGGAACAAGCAGGAGCCCTGCCCCATTCTGAGTCAGAGGGGTGGGTGCCCCAACCTCCTGGGCACAGCTGCAGCTGCACAGCCACAGCTGCAAACCTAGGGATCCCTGCCCTCTCAGCAGGGGGCCTAGGAAGCACACCCCCTCCCACCCCTAGAGGCTCAGGAGTGCCTGCTCCCACTGCCTGGCCTCTCCCCACTCCTAGTGCCCACTCCAATTTCAGAGCAAAGTTGTGGTCAAGTCTTGGTGCTGTCACAACCTGGCTGAGTGTGAGCACTCTTATAGTGGCATTGACAAACCAGCTGCCTGCTGCCTCAGCCCCTCCAGACTTTGGGCCCTAAAGAGCACAGGAGGGAGACTGAGAGGGGCCTGAGGGCAGCTTGTCACAGGCCTGCAGATGCCTCTTGGAACAAACAACCTAGGCCCTGTGGGTGCCATGGACAGGAGGTTGAAGGAGGCAGGAGGCACATAGGCTCCTCTATGGAATAGAGTGGGTCTTTGGTGAAACCCCTGCTAAAAGCCAAGAATGGCCTGAAGCCTGGGGGCCAGGATGCCAGTTCCATGGACCAGAGCGAGAACTTATGGTGCTTTTTCTGGGCCCACCCATGGCCACCCATTGACGAATCAACATGCACTTCCTCCCCTCTGAAACCCATTAAAACCCCAGACTCAGGCAAATGACAGGATGACCTGCCAGCAGATAGGAGCTATCCATTCTGGGTTTCTTTTTCAGTGAGGCTGCAAAGACACAGGGATGACCTGCCTGCAGATAGGAGCTGCCAACTCTAGGTCTCCTTTCTGCTGAGAGCTGCACTTATTGGGACAACCTGCCTATGGAAAGGAGCTATCCGTTTAGGATCTGAGAGCTGTACTGTTGCTCAATAAAACAGCTCTTCACCTTGCTCTGCCTCCATTTGTCTGCATACCTCATTCTTCCTGGAAGTAGGACAACAACTTGGCACCTGCCTAATGGTGGGACTGAAAGAGCTGTAACAGAAACAGTATTGAAACACCCCCCATCGCTTGTCACGTTGTGGGTGATGAGAAAGACAAAAGGAGAGAAGAGCTGCAGCCCTTCGGGAAGCCCAGACTTAAGAGCTCCCTGAGTCAAGGCTGTGACACTCTCTTTGGGGCTCTGTGGTTCTTAGCATCTCCAATCTCCCAGGTGCCACCGTGTTCCCTAAGTCCAGCAGTGGAAGCTGCTTTACAGCAGCGCCCCACTCTACTGATACTAATTTACTGTGTTAGTTCATTTTCATGCTGTTGATGAAGACATATCTGAGACTGGGAAGAAAAATAGGTTTAATGGACTCACAGTTCCATGTGGTGGGGAAGGTGGAAGGTGAAATGCATTTCTTACGTGGTGCTGGCAAGAAAGAACGAGAGAGAAGCAAAAGCGGAAACCCCCTATAAAACTGTCAGATCTTGTGAGACTTATTCACTACCATGAAAACCGTATGGGGGAAACTGCCCCCATGATTCAATTATCTTCCACTGGGTCCCTCCCACAAAATGTGGGAATTATGGGAGCTGCAATTGAAGATGAGATTTGGGTGGGGACACAGAGCCAAACAATATCAGATATCAGGGTATTTAACTCCAACAGCTATTGTCCTTTACTATTATTTATTACTGAATTGTTTTATTATGTCCTATATTCACCCTTTCTGATTACTTTATCATTTTAAAGTTTCCTATTAAATTGCACAAACAATGAAATTTTCAAGTTCGATATGTGTACTTTGATTTATTTGTAAACAACTTCAGTTACCCATGAGAAATTTAAGGCAAAATATATACCAGGAAACTAACAGGTTTATGTATCTAAAATTATGTGCAGTGATTAAAAATAAAACATGTTAAGAATATTGATAGCCAAGCTAAACAAATATAAGGAGTTATGCATCATTATCTTTTATTTTGAAGATTATTCCTTTGGTTCTGGGCATATGGAACTAAATTAAATAATTTGCTCTGGGGACTCCTCACAACAGTTGTGTGTATAATGTATGTAGTCTCAGGTTTGTATCTGAGACAGAAATCTACATAATCTGATATCTTAGTGCTATTTCATATTTTCCCTTCAGCCTCACTTATTGATGGTGCATGCTAATATAGTTTATCCATTTCAAAAAATAGGGCTACAATATCCTTGTTGTAAAATAATGCATCATTAAAAAATGAAAAACATTGGTTTGATCCTAAGGGAAATAAACCTATTCATTTTGGGATGCTGACATTATAATTAAAGGTATCAATATTAAATGCAGGAAAGATTGATCATAGACTCAAACTGCTTTAACTTTTTGTCAACTTTGGATGTTTATTAATAATGATTAAATTTGGACTGTATTATAGGAAGCTCTAAAGAGTCTCAGTGAAAATTACTTTGTTTTCCTGTTGTAAGTTTTTATAGAATTTCAACTCATAAAACGCTTATATTTTGTCTGGAATCCATAATAAAATTGGACTGTCTTTGGCAAATTATTACTGAATAAAAGAAATCACAATTCAACCATATATTAAATTGAAAACATCTATTTATGTATATTTTTTAAATACTCAAAAATTGAGCAATGGTAAAGGAAAGGTTTTATCAAATGAAACTTTTTTTTCAGAATTTTTTCTTTCTTTCTTTTTTCTTTCGAGATGAAGTCTGGCTCTGTTGCCCAGGCTGGTGTGCAGTGCTGCAAACTCTGCCTCCTGGGTTCAAGGAGTTCTCTGCTTCAGCCTCCCGAATAGCTGGAATTACAGGCACCTGCCACCACGCCCAGCTAATTTTTGTATTTTTGGTATACATGGGGTTTCACCATCTTGGCCAGGCTGTTCTTGAACTCCTGACCTCCTGCATCACCCTCCTTGGCCTCCCAAAGTGCTGGGATTAGAGGCATGAGCCACTGTGCCTGGCCCAGAATATTGTTTTAAATCACATAAAATGTATATTGCTTACAATTCAAACACAAGAAACAAGTAAATGAAAGCTGGAAATGTAATCAGTACTTCAGGAAATTTTTCAAAATACAGATTTTGATATTGAATAAATATAATTGTTTTTGTTATTTTAATTATCTTACAACATTAGGTTGTTTTATGTTGAGATAATCATTTTAACATAAGAATATAATATCTAAGAAACAGAACTGAACAAATAAAACATATTTTTAATTTCATACAGGTCAAAATAAAAAGGGAAAATGTCACGTAATCTTCTCAATCAACGCCTTAAAGTATCAGCTCAACTGAGGTGAAGGAAGGCAAGAGCTCTAAATAAGCATGTCTTTGCCTCTTTTAAGGAAAAATTCTCTGAGATTAATGTATTATTATTAATCTATCAATAGTGTTTGCTTTCTTTTTAGAGAAATTAAACAAGATAATACATCCAAATGTGAAGCTTGAGAAATTCAGTTTGTATGGTACAAACCTTTTGAAAATTCTATAAAGCAGCATAAGAGATTTTTCTATTCAATTTCCAGCTGTTGATCCCACCAAAAGCTTCTTTGGAGATTGTCTTCATAGCTTTATTTGAACACAAGAAATACCCTTGTCTTTAAAGAGAAGGTGTTGGGGGATTTCATTTACATGGGCCACATCTCATGTATACAGATTCCTCATGCTAAGGACAATACGGACACTCTGTCTTTCAAATATATATTGAACATGTCAAACCCCTGGTATGTTTATGTGCATATCCATACATAGAAAACAAGATGGTTGGCCAGGCGCGGTGGCTCACGCCTGTAATCCCAGAACTTTGGAAGGCCGAGGTGGGCGAATCACGAGGTCAAGAGATCGAGACCAGCCTGGACAACATGGTGAAACCCCGTCTCTACTAAAAATGCAAAAATTAGCTGGGCATATTGGTGCACGCCTATAGTCTCAGCTACTTGGGAGGCTGAGGCAGGAGAATTGCTTGAACCTGGGAGGCGGAGG